GATCTACAATCTGAGGTACAGGATCTCAGGATAAATCCTGAGGGCATTTCACTGACCTTATCAGATCCAAAAGCTACAACTCTTGTTGCATAGTTCTTGCTTTATCTTGGTCTTAACCATCCAGCACAAAAGTATAAAAAGAAAGTATAAGAAGTAAAGCCATGTTGTTATGTTGACCTGTAGGGGACTCAGATCAACAATTTCTGACACTGTCAGTCAAGCGGAAGACCCAATACTATTATGAATTATTGGATTGTTTTAGTATATTTTGCTGAGTTGACACACCTATAATATTCGAATGATGGAACTAAACAAAAAAAGGGATATATAAATGAATGTCCATTTTGTATCTGTGTATTCAAAATGGTTAGGATAGATATATAGTTACATTCTCTTAATAAATAGAGGGATTTGTTGTGATAGTGTTTGTAAATAGGATATCATGTCTGCATCTTGTTCCACAAATAACCACTAGGAAGAGAGTATGCAATGTGTTAATTATTGAAACTGTCCTACCAATTTGATTTGAAGCTGTCTCATTGCTATTTGTCAATAAAATTACAGAAAAAAAAAAAAAAAGAATCACAGCCTCCTGGGAATGCAGACTGGTGCAACCATTATGGAAATCAGTGTGGAGACTGATTAAAAAACTAGAACTGGAAATCCCATTCAAACCAGCTATCCCCCTACTGGGAATTTTCCCAGAGGAACTGAAAGCGTCATATCATAGTGATATATGTGTATCTATGTTTATAGCAGTACAATTTGTGATAGTCAAATCTTGGAAGCATCCAAGATGCCTCTCACATGAGAAATGGATGAAAAAAATGTGGTATTTTTATACAATGGATTATTACTCAGCTATAAAGAATGATAAACTCAAAGTCTTCATATTTAAGTGGATACCACCTGAAGATATACTCATAAGTGAAATAAACCAGACCCACATGTGCAAATATCATATAGCCTCCCTAGTATAAGAACTCAAAAGAAGAAATACAAATAGAAAGGTATAACACAATTAAAAAGAAAGCGAGAACTTGAGGACTAGACAATGAAGAGAGCAAGGAAAATAGCTAGGAAACACGACAAGGGCAAAGCCATACATTTGTATGTATAAGATGGGTAAGGTAATCATCCTGAGAATCGTCAACAAGTTTTCAAAAGTAGCAGTTAATTGGTAAGATTCTCACCCTGAACAACTATATATGCTGATACCTGTGAACTAAGCAACTGTACTGAAGATGGCAATTTGTAATAGTAGGTTCATGCTTGGAGTGCCTATCATTCTGGTCTTCTGAATATGTGCTGCTTGTCATGACATGTCAGTTGCTGCCGTGCTGTCTCTCGGGTAGATGACTGTTCAAAACAGAAGGGGGTGGTGAATGAAGGCAGGAGACAGGAAAAGGGGTGTTGTGGGGCTGTCCTGCTACAATGCTGTATATGGCTAGATTTCTAAACTTCTGTGTAAAAATATGTAATTGTTTATTCCTATTTTTTAATACAGCTACATTCTCTTAATTCAATGAATAGAAAGATTTGTTCTAATAGTGTTTGTAAACAGGACATCATGTCTTGTACAATGCATAACCACTAAGACAACAATATGCAATGTATTAATTATTGAAACTGTCCTACTAATGGAATTTGAAACTGTCTAATTGCTATTTGTTTCTCAATAAAATTATTGAAAAAAATAACATGGAAGCAGGAAATAACAATTCAGCAGCTACAAGATGACACACAGAAGAATAACAGGTGTCAATGAAGCAGCGGGAGACAGCACAAATGACATAAAAACATTATTTGCAGAAGTACTAGCAGAAAATTTTTCATCCATGAGAAAAGAAACTGACATACAGTTAAACAAGACATATAAAACTCCATACAGCTATAATCACAATGAATATACACCTAGACATCTAATAATCAAGATCTCAGAAATTCACCAAAAGAGTAGAATATTAAAAGTTGCTAGAGAGAAGAAACATCACTACAATGAAAAAGTCCATTAGAATCATGGCAGATTCTGAATATAAACCATCAATTCAAAAAGAGCTTGGAGTAAAGTATTTCAGGTCTTGAAAGAAAATAACTTCCAAGCCACATTGATGTACCATGCAAAACTATCAAATTCAATGGCAAACTAAGATCCTCCCATGACAAAGAACAATTGATGAAATTCATGACCACCAAACTAACCCTACAAAGAGTACTGAAAGATATTATAGAAAGAGATAGAAGTGATCACACCTTCAGGAACAGAAATGAACCACCAAACAGAGGAAGCAATTAAAAAGAGGGGAAAATTGCACAACCTTTAAAAAATAACATGACAAAGAGAAGCCAATATGTATCAGTTATAACCATCAATGTAAATGGTCTCAATTCACCAATCAAAAGAAACTGACTAATTGAGTGGACTAATAAAAAAATCCAAAAATATGCTTCATACAAGAACCACACTTAACAAAAAAGGCAATTCACAGACTAAAAGTCAAAGGATAGAAAACAATTCCACAGGAAATAAGAACAAAGAAGGGATAGTGATGTTGGTTGCTGAAAATATCAACTTAAAACAAAAAATCACTCAAAGAGATAAAGATCACTACATTTCTTTGTTAAGGGAAAACTTCAAGAGGAAGAGATAACAATTATAAACATACATGCAACCAATGTAGGAGCACCCTCTTACATAAGACATTTTAACAGACATGAAAGAGAATAGAGAAATAAAAGAAGTAAGGATTGGAAAAGAAGTAAAATTATCATTATTTGCAGATATCATGATATTCACTAAACAGAGGACCTCCAAAACTCCACAAAGAGTCCTGTAGATTTAATCATCAAATTCAGCAATATATTAGTATACAAAGTCAATAGCCAAAACTCAATTGCATTTCTGAACTCACTGAGGGAGAAATTAAGGAAAGAACACCATTCACAATAACATCCAAAAAAGAAAATAATTAGGAATCTATCTCACAAAGGACATGAAAGATTTATACAGCGAAAATTACATTACTCTGAGAAAAGAGAGTGAAGAGAATTTGAGAAAATGGAAAAATATTCCATGATCCCAGATAGGAAGAACGAACATTGTGAAAACAGTCATAATCCCAAAATTGTTGTACAGATTCAATGCAATCCCGATTCAAATACCATTAGTATACCTCACAGAGCAAGAGAAAACTTTCCTCAGATTCATTTGAAACCAGAAAGAGACTAGGATATCTAAAGCAATCCTGGATACAAAGGAAAGGCAGGAGGTATCACAATCCCAGCGCTGAAATTTCACTATAAAGCTACTGTGATAAAATCAGCATGGTACTGGCATAGAGACAGACCTCAGGATCAGTGGAACAGATTAGAAGATGCAGACACAACTGCAAACGCACTCAGCCACTGTATCTTTGACAAAGAGGCCAAACATGCTTACTGGAAGAAAGATAGCCTCTGTAACAAATGGTGCTGGGAAAACTGGGTTTCCACATGCTGAAGGCTAAAACTAGACCCATGCCTGTCTCCATGTACAAAGTTATAATCAAAATGGATCAAAGATTTAAAATAGTAAAACAGAAACACCAAACCTTCTAGAGCAAAATGTAGATAAGAAATCTTAAAGATAGGGGTAGGTAGGTAGAGAGTTCATAAACAAGAACCAAACTGCACAGGAAGTACTCAAAGAATCAACAACTTGGATCTTATGTTTGAAAACTTTCTGCACTTCAAAGTAAATCTCCAACAGAGTTAAAAAAAAAATACTGGGAAAAAATTATAGCTGACTGTGCCTCTGATAAAAGGGCTTTTATCTACAACACACAAAGAATTTTAAAAACCAAGACTCCCAAATTCAAAGAGCCAATCCAAAAATCTGAGATGAATGTACACTTCTCAGAAGAAGAAATACAAATGGCAAGCAAATATATGAAAAATGTTCTACATCATTGGTCATTTGAGAAATGCAAATTAAAACAACACTGACATTCCATTCTGCTCCAGAAAGAATGGCTATCATTAAGAAGTCAGCCAACAACAAGTGCTAGAGGAGCTGTGGAGAAAAAGGAACCCTTGTCCACTGTTAGTGAGAATGCATACTGGTACAACTACTATAGAAATAAGTATGCAGATTCCTTTAAAAGCTAGGATTGGAGTTCCCATTCAAGCCATCTATTTTCCACATGAGTACTTTTCCAGGAGAACTGAATACCCCATACTGCAGATATATATGTGCACCCACGTTTATAGCAGCACAATTTGTTATAGCTCAATCCTGGAAACAAACCAGATGCCCATCAACTAATGAATGGATAAAAAAGATGTGGTATTTGTACACATTGGAGTATTTTTCAGCTGTAAAAACAGGGTAAGACTGAGTCTTTTTTTGGTAAATGGATGGAACTAGAGAACATACTCAAGTGAAATAAGTCAGACCCACATGTGCAAACATCATATTATCTCCTTAGCATGAGAACCTGAAAGAGAAAAAATGAAAATTGAAGGGTACAATAGATACTAGGAAATGAGAATAAACTTATTCAAAAGGAAGGAGTTACTGAGTTGAAGAGAAGGACAGGAGAGGGGCTGGGGGATAGATAATGATCTACGTATGTAAACAGGACAGTTTGCACAACTGTACTGTGCATTTGTGCTGGTCTATGGAAATGAGCAGATAATGCTTAATTTGTTTTTTCTCCTTTTTTCAATTGTTATCCTTTTTCTCTTCTTAATTTCTTATACAGGGGCCAGGGAGATACCTCAGTAGAATAAGCTCCTGCCTGGAAAGTGCAGGGTCTTGAGTTCAATCCCCAAAAGTACTGAAAAAATTTTTTTCTTATACATTTCTTGTTTTTTTCTTTCTTTTTCCAATTTTTTCATGCATATATCTAGTAATATGAGTAACTGTTTGGAAGGCAACACTATGTATTACAACAAATATTGTGAAATTCATATTACTTTGTTAAGTGAAATTCTGTATCACTTGCAATTTTTTGTGTTTCCATTCTAACTTAAACTCTCTTTAAGAAATATAAAAAAGAAAGAAAGAAACAAAACAAAACAGCTGGCTCCAAGACAAAGGGGCACATGGCAGAGGGCAACAGTTCATGGTGGCAGAAAAGACACAAGAGCAAAAGGGAGGAGGAGCAGCAGGAAGCAAGCCTCTTTCCTTCCCTTATATTATGTGCAGGCTATCTCCCCCAGGGCTGGTATAGCACTTACAACCAAAATTCCAGCATTAGACCATGAATCAGTCAAAAACTCTAAAAACCTGCTCCTTGACTGCAGGAGGCTTGAGGGGTGGGGGAAGGGCATCAAGACATAAAACATAACAAGTGCTTACCCTGGGTGATAGGTGTCCTAGGTTCCATCCACAGCATGTACCACACCTGCGCGCACACACACACACACACACACACGCCCACCACCGTATCATAATAAAATGGTGTTTATTTCATAAAAGATGTTTGTGCATCAGAAACCTATCATAAAATTCACAGCAAAAATCAACAAAGGAAAACCTCATTTAATTACATATTAAAATTGGCATAAATATATTTTCTTTTTTTATAAATATATGTTCTAAATCTCAATTTCTACTGCTTTTAAAGGCTTTTAAAGGCAAAATTAAACTAAGATTCATAACAAGGTAAAGCACACTGGCCACAAAATTTAGCAGATGGGATGCTGAATCAAGACACTGTACATGTTCTATTTGTATTTATTTACTATTATTATTTTTGTATTTTAGCACAGGCTCTACAGGGTCTCACTACACAGATTGGACTCATACTGATCCTCCTGTTTTCAGCCTTCCAGGGGCTGGGATTACAGGTGTGCACCACCATGCCCAGTGTAATGTTTTATTTTAAAATCAGAAGTAAGCATATTCACTGTTGCCACTATTTTTCAGTCATTGGCAACCAAAATTCATATTGGGAGTTATAGGACAAGAAAACAGAAATAAATGACATAAGGCCTCAAATGAAAGTGAAAAAAATTGCTACCCCTTAAGAAATAACCAAGAAATAACATTTTTGAACAATGACAGAGATTATGGTGCCAAAAACAAGATCCTTTGGAAGTGATCATGGTGACTCTCATAGAAATCAATATACTAAAGCTCAGTAACTCCCAATAAGAGCACACATTATAAATAAATTAGCTCTCCTTTAGCTATTAAAGTCAATGTACATTCACTACACAGAAACCTACTGGTCATTAGTTCATTTTAAAAATTCATTCTCTTATTACTAGAATCAAAAGGTGCAAGTGTAGTGAACTGGAATGTAAGTAACAATTTAAAGGGGAAAGTATATTTTAAAAAATACATTTCAAGTTTTTGCAAATACTTCAAATGTACAGTGTCCTTTAAAAAGAGTACTAGATGTTCACTCCACTCTGCGAACTCATTTAGTTGTGCCAATATTATGTTTTATTGTAGGAGATACTTTCTCAACTTCCACTGGGAAAAAACTTCACCCTGAGAACTGACTTCAAACATAACCATGTACTTATTCAGTGTATCCACCTTCATGAAATCATTAGAAAGATACACTAATTCATTAAAATCTACAAAATCTTCAAGCAGAATGATAAAAATACATTCAAAGCAAACTGGAGATGGTGTAAATACACAGGAAATAATGTATACACTTGGATTTGATGATGATATGTTAATATTCTTCTAAACTCGCTTCTGAAAAACAAGTGATTCTGCTGTATTTCTTGGCTCTAAAATAAAAGGAGAAAGGAGGAGAGGTACCCCTTTCATTGTGTGAAATATGCTATAAAGTTCATAATTTAAGTTTGAATCTCAGATAGGAAGCATAATAAATGTATAAAATTGCAAAAACGACTACTGATTTACTCAAAACACACTGTGTAAGGCTGGCTCTGTCAGTCACGAGGAAGAGGTAACTAAATGAACATTCCATCGTGATGGCAAAACTCCTCCTATTATAGGTCAAGCGAATCTGATTTTTGCATCACAGTCTTCCAAAGGTGAATCCCAGAAGAAGGAAAAAAGAAAAAAAAGCTAAGGTTACTTTAAAACTGAAAAAAGAGTAGACAGCATTTCTGCTCAGTAAAGAAATATTGGCTAAAGTTAAGAAGCAGATGAAAAATTGCTGAAAGGTTTGATTTCTAAAGAAGATAAAGAAATGCCCAGAAAAACAAGAGACAGACTGTGTGTGTACGTCTAGAATCTTCACAAATGTTAGCAGGCTATGCCACAATAATGCACGAAAGAGCTTATCCAGCAAAATGAGAGGAGCGCAGAAAAGCAGGCATGAATACAAGAAAACTGCAAATGCGCGGGCGAGCTTCATTGTGCATCCCTGAGAGCCACCGAAGTGGAAGTCTTGGGGGCCCTGAGGAGGCGCTGGAGCCAGCTTGCTGCCCGCGTGGGCGAGGACGCTCGCGCCGGCCGCGGAGACAGCTCCCGGGGGCTGCGCGCCGGCGCGGCGCTCTCCAGGACAGCGGGGCCGGGAGCGTCCCCCGGCGCC